CCTCACAGGCAGGTTGCAGTGTAACATCAGAGGACACTGGGCCAATTGTACATTCTCAAACTGCACCACTTAGAACTAACTAAACAATGCAGAGATTATTTTTATATAATTGTATTCAATAACCGTAAGAAATTAAAGTGATTTGTAAATAGGAATACAGATTTGATTTAATGTTTTCATAAATATATTTTCCCCCCAGTTTGTCATAATTTTTACCCTCTCAAAGAACCGGAATCGAGAACCGAAAATAACTGGAATCGAAAAGCAGAACCGGAATCGTTAAAATCCAAACGATACCCACCCTGATGCAGTAAAATCTTACCGCTCACTTATAATACGATGGCAAAGAAGAAGATTCCAGTGGCCCCAATTTGTGTCCATTCTGGACAAGTGAAAAATGTATTCGGACAAGTAAACTCACTTGTCCATGGACAAGTACTCTCTAAAAACTTTTTCTCACACTGTAAGGTGCCCTTACTTGTGCCAAGTGTTAAAATCAAAATATGTATCAAAATTGCTCAATATCGAAAAGAGGAAATAAATATAATAATGTATAGTATTCATTTCCATATTATCACTACATACACAAACGTACTGCTTTCTCCCTCTTAATTTCATCAGCAGGCACTTTAAAAACAATCCTTAAAAGTACTGATGTCTTACCTTCAGTGTGAACAGTGACGTCAGAGCGATGGCAGCCCTCTCCTTAGTGATGGAGGTCCGAGGAAGCCCCTCCCACAGCATGGCGTCCTCCAGGTCCTTCTGCCTCAGCAGAGCGCGGGTCATCACAGGACCGACCTCTGTACTGCAGGGTTCAGGATCCACGAGCTCAGAGTCCGACTCCAACGGGGCCATGTCATCTAAGACCCCAGGGGGCGGGGCCGTGTGGAGGCTGAGGGTCTGAGGCGAGGGCTTGGGTTTGAGCTTCCTCAGCTTGGGTTGATGAGGCAGAGGTGACGGCTCTGGCTCGTTGAATCGCACTTTCAGGTGTTGTTTTCTTGGTTTTAGAGGTACAGGGAGAGGTGCTGTGTGCTCTGATGGAGTGGGGGCTGCTGGGATATGGAGTCCAGGTTGTTTCGGGAGCAGGTTTGACTCAGTAGGACTTAGAGAAGGTGTAGAACCTGGAGGTGGTTGTTCTCTGTTTTTCGGTTTTGGACCTCTCTTCAGCTTCTCTTTCCGGGGTTTCTTCGCCTCTTTGAGCGTGAGCTTGGGTCTCTTTGAGGGAGGGATGAATCCAGATATGAGGTCTGATGTGGGGGAGCTGGAGGTCTGTTTCTTCAGGACACTGTCGAGGGTCCGGACGTAGCTGGTGCTCCTGGTGGGCAGCTCGTACACCAGCGGCTCCACGGCAGACTGAGAGAAGCTGTCGGCTCGCTCCTCGATCAGCTTCGCTTCATTCTCCAGATACTCGTCCAACATGTCGCTGCAGAACGCAGACAGGTTCTTCTTTGGTGGGTCTGAACTGGGACCAGCTGCAGGACACAAGAAAAATATTAAGACAAAATGTTACACAACTTCACTGAGACAATTATTTATTTAAAGAGGTGCTTTTTTGGAGTGTTCCCTTTCCTGTAGTGGGTAATACAGGTTTTTGTGCATATGGTCTGCAAAGGCTAAAATCCCAAAGTTTACATTATTTATTAAGATTTTTGCAATTGTTTTTCTTGGTAATTCGTTTCAAGCTGTGATTACCTTCAGGTGTTGTTGGTGTCGGAGTGGGCGGAGCCTCTGATGGAGTGTATTTCTCTCTCCAACCTTTAATCTGAGTCACATCGGTCGTTTTTCCTGTTCTTGACACAAACGCTGCAGAAATAACTGGAAATAAGAAAACACCAGTAAGTTACTTCGCAAAAGCTGATTTGAGGATTTCTCCTACAGCGTAAAGGCACTTTTTTAAAGCTGAAAACGTCCTTCAGCTGCTTTAAAGTGGAGTAATGGAACTGATGCGTATGTTGTTTATGACGTAATCAAATCCAACTCTGATTTCAAATTTCAGTTCAAACTACGGCCCCGGGACCGCATTTAGCCCCTGGGCCGTAGTTTGGACACCCCTGATCTAAACCCAAGTTGGGTCATTATGAAGTACCTGGAGGTGGAGGCAGCTTCTTGGTCAGCGGCTCCAGAGAGACTCCAGGGGGGGGGATGGGCAGACGGACCCCCAGGTACTGCAGGTCTATGGCCAGAGTCGTATCCAGCTGATTCATCTTCAGACCCACTGAGTTTACAGAGAAAAAACAAGATTTTTCAGCAAAATGATATTCACATTGTCATATATTATAGTTTAAATATGTTTTTCCATCTTCCATTTTATCTACTGTAGTGTAATACACATACTTTAACATATTTATTTCTAAATGTTCCAAAATATGTCTTTGTTTTAATATATATATATATTTATTTCTACACTATAATGTGAGAAAACAAAAGGGTTTTAAATACTTCATTAAATACAGTCTGACGTACCTTCCTGCAGCACCGGATGGATCACCTGTCTGTGTCTCAGCAGCTTCAGGTCTCTCAGGAGAATCTTCTCGAAGGCAGCGATCCTCTCAATTTCCTCTGTTGTCTCTACTGAAGAAATAAATGTCTTGTTGTCCACTTTTCCTTAAACTAATGATCAGATCATTGAGCTTGTTGTCGAAATGTCTTGGACATGTTTAGCCAAGCTAAGTCCAAACAGCATCTTCCACATAATACAAATTGTATATTAGGTTTTTATAGCTTGTTTCTTTTTCTTGTTGGACTGAGCTTCTACGTCCCGTTAGATACCAGGTGGTGTTCAGCCATAAGCTAGCTATAGGTTCTGATAGCTTGCATAACGCTCTTGGTCCAGTTAACTTAGCTAGTAGTTCCAGGAAATTAGTCAGTTTCTAGTTTAGAGTTAGTTTGGTGTCAGTTTCTGGGTAGAATTAATTAAAGCTTCTAGTCCTATAAAATGTATGTTAACCTCTAGGTCTAGTGCAGGGGTGCCCAATACATCGATCGCAAGGGTAGTGTGGGTAGATCGCATGGCATTGAAAAAAAAAAAAAAAAAAAAAAAAAAAGCCTATCATCCATCCTTGCTATGGCATTAGCCACTTGATTGACGTACAGGTAAGCAAGTCTGAGTTGTATCGTGCCATACGGGTTCATGCAGTTATGAGGGGGCCTCACCTCCTCATCTGAAGTCGCAAATGCGGCGCACTATTATACGCTTATGCGGCGCAATTAGTGTAAGCGCGCCACAGTTTATCCGCCGTTTAGTCCACTAGCACCCCCTCCCCCCGCTCGCGACACAGACTGGGGAGGGGCGGCCCTGTAGGTAGATCACTTGGGCGTGGTCATTTTAAAAGTAGCTCCCAAGCTGAAAAAGTGTGGGCACCCCTGTGGCTTTAAGCTAGCCCTAGTACCTGTTAGTTTGTATTTGTTATGCTCTTTCCCTTGCTTCCAGTCTTTAGGCTAAGCTGGGGTAGACACATCCTTTCTCTGGTCCTTACACACAGATTAAACTGATATCCATATTCTTACTTTACCATTTATCTGCACATTTTAAACAATTGGAAAATGTAATATGATTTCAGTCACATGATCATTTCTGTGTTACCGTTCTCAGGTGTGTCAGTAGTTTGTTGTAGCACGGGTCCCTCAGGTGTTGTCTGAGGCTGTGAGTTCGGTCCATCGGAGGAGTCCGCAAGGTGAAGTTTGAGAGCCTCCTAAAATATGAGTTTGGTTTTAAATGTTCTGTAAAGTACATTGAGTAAGCCCCTTCATTACCAACCTGAATATTGGGTTACTGGTATAACTAGAGGCTCCATTGCCCCAAACAGGAACTAACTCGAAAAATGCTAAATATGCTTATAATATATCAATGTCTACTTGGAAAAACTTCTGAATCTTATCCTTGTTATCATCAAAGCATTTGTTTCTCGATTTATAAGGGCGCGTGTTAATATCGGCCAATGACTTCAATCTTGCCAACTCATGGCTGTATTTTAGGAACTGGATGCCAAAGACATAAAAATATATAACAGTAAGTTCTTACCTTTGAAGTGAATGAAATAAATAACTGCTCTTCTACTTCCTCCAGGTTGGGATGCATTCTACCGTATGAGGGATCAATATCTTGATCTACATCCGCTAACTTTCGCTGCCTGGACTTCTTCTTCTGCTGCTTGCAGGTTCTTTTGGCTGGAATTGGTTGCACCTGCGGAGAAGGCTCTTGTGCATTTGCTTCTGCTTTACCCGGCGGTGAGCTGGGAACGTCTATTGTCTCTGTGTTTGAAAACTCCATCCCGAGGTCATGATCGTTGGAGAAAAAGTACACAAGTTCGGCGATTGAAGGCGTAGGTGAGAGTTCATCTCCATCTAAGGAGGAAAAAGTTGGAGACAGCGGCAACTGAAGCGCGAGGGGGGACAATTGAGCAGGGAATGGCAGCAACTGTACGTTTTCTTGAAATGATGGACCAGCGTCAAGGGGAGCCATGGATGTGGAGGTGTCAATAACCTGTGGTTCAGATTGGGAGGGTGTTTGGGAAGGCAAAAAAGGTGAAGCAACCGACACTAAAGGTAGAGTCTCTGGTGTGGGCTGAAATGTAGTGAGTGAAGTTTCTATGTACGGCTTAGGTAGAGGTAACACTGTATGCCATTTGAACACAGATGCTTCGCTGTGCTGCAACTCCTCAGGAGATACTGCTTGTGGAGGTGGTTCAGAAGTACTGCAGTCAAATTCTAGAGCTAACGAGAGAGGCAGGGAAGGTAAAGGTTCTGGAGAGCTTGCAGGTGACAATTCCTCAAAAGCATATGAAGAACACTCAGGGTCAGGTAGCAAAGAATCAGACTTACTAGTAGGGGAGTCTGAAGGTAGTGTGGAGGAGTCATTGATGGTTTGGGTTTGGGAAAAGTTTGGGGCAGGTAACACCGTGTCATGGATGGGTGACCAAATAGGAGATTCAGGGGAGGTAGCAAGAGTTGACGAAATGGTGGATAAAGATGTCCCAAGCGTACAAAAGGGTTGATAAAAATGAGGTAACACTGGTGTACCATCTTGTCCCTCTAGGCTGTTGCATTCAGTTACTGAGACAGAGGTCAGGAAATCTTCAGTGCTTAGTCCGTTTGGGCCTGTAGTTGCATTGTCATCTAGACATGATGGACTGGACTGTTCATTGGTGGTTTGACCTGCTTGTCCTGCTTGTCCTATTTCATCCAGATGATGTTCACTAGTATGTCCAGAAGCCAGGTTGTTGTATTTTGTGATATCACCAGTAGGGTCTTTGGAAGGATCAGTTGCTTTAACGAAGGGGTCAGATTGTGGACATGTGGGAGCTGCAGCAGAACTCTTTGAATTAGATGAAAGTTCAGATGGGATTGCTTGGGGTGGAGAATCCAGCTTGCTCTTTGCCTTTTTAGATTTTGTTGAATGCTGCTTCAAAAAACGAGCAAGAGCTGGCAGAGGCAGGGGCACTGGACGTTTATGCTGCTTTTCTTTTCCCTCTGATAGAGCTTTGAGCTGATGTTGGTGGTCTGATTCGACCGAGGAGTTCTGGGAAACTGCTGGAGAATCATTATGTAACTCAGAACTATCAGTCCTTACGTTGTCTTTGCAGTTTGTTGAATTCAAAAGGTCCTTATTCTCCTTAACTTTCCTCTTTGTTTGAACAGTTTCACCGTTCTTTGCAGATGATGGGACACTATTTGTTTCGACAGATCTACTGTCCCTTCTGGGAACATCTTGTTCATTGCTTTTCAAAGCAGTGGTTTTAGTTTGGGTTTGCTCAGTTCTAGGAGAGGTGCCGTTTGTGATGGCCAGCTGCTCCACGTTGCATCTATGCAGTGAAACATGAGCCTCCCGGATAAGTTCTGAAAACAACTTCTGAGCTGGACGTGAATTGCTGGTGAAGGAAACAAAACAATAAAAAAATCCAATTAATGTCATAGGCATTATTGAGTGAAAAATAGACCACCATGTACTGTAGAACTAAGCTATGGCATGTCATCTGGTAAACAAGAAACAAAACAATAACAGCATTTGTAGTTAGCAAATTAGGCACCATCCCACAATCTTACAAAAGGACTTTAACACTACAGGTGCAATAGGCAGACATTTGCTGCGAACAGAAGCTCCATAAAAATTGTGGCAGTTCCCTTGACAGTGCAAAATCTTGTGGCACAACCTGAAGAAGATAAGAAACATTTCACTTTATGGAAATATTCTCTGAGGTCCTAAACACATGGGTTACCTCAAACTGAACCATCTAATATGAAGTCAACAAGTGAGGGAAAAGCTAATCCTCTTGGTAAATGGCTTTGACTAGAAAAATAATGCAGAGAAAGATATATTCTGGGGAATCAACTACTTGGTTGTTCGACAGTATAGTGGGCACAGGAATAACTGTTTTATCACAGCTTTGTATTCAAATCACGTGCCGAACACAAAACATGATTGCAATCTGAAGGATGATTGTGAGAACAGCGTGCTTGTAAATATATGCAAAGGTACCCATCAAAGTGCGAAGTTGTATGTGATACAATAATCCAACCGATGTGAGAGCAAACATGGTGTTGATTGAGTAAAAGTATCTTAAAAAAACGCATATTTAGCAACCTTTGATGACGACTAGAGGGAGCATGTAAGATGTGGTAGTTCACAAAATGACATCAGGTTATTAGATACAGAGCAATGAAACAACACCTGAGTCAATTCTTAAACATAGCCAACTTGCAAACTTGACATTTAGTACAATTGTGAAAAGCATGCCATCTTCTTTTACCAAGTGTAACTCTTACCCTGAACATTCCCCAGTCACACTGGCAGCTGACTGATCTTCATTTGTAGTGGACTTTTTCTGAAGATCACTAGAACCCGAAGGCTTTGCATCCACTGCTTTTAAGCTTTTAGGTTTATTGTTTGCAAGCAAAGACTTCAAGCTCTTTTTCAGGGGATGTTGCTCATTGGTTGTCGTGCCTCCACCTTTGTGCAAGTCTTTTTCAGAGTTCAACTTCAGTTTTAGGCCAAACGGACTGGAGCTCTCCTCCTTCAGTCCTTTAGCAAACGGATTGTAGTCAACTTTAAGCTGGGAAAGCTGTGGGTTTTGGTAAGCAGTGACTGCCATAAACTCAGTCTGGGGAAAAGTGAATGTCATAAGATTGCAACCCTTTAGATTGTCTTTTTCGGTTTGGATCACATGCAGCCTTGGCAAGTAGCGGTGCATCGGATGCAGGATGGTGTTCTCCTCTTGCTCTGAGACGTTGTTTGTGAGTTTCAGTTTGTAAAAGGACACTGGATTTTTCATCCAGTGTTCTCCTGTTGATGGAGACTCTGGGTGAGCGAATGGTTGACTCTTACCATGACTTTCTGCCTTTCCAGCAACTTGCCAGCTTTTGCCATTCCACTTGTAACGACTGATGTCTAAAAGTTGAATGTCCATGATCAAAGAATACTTCCTAGATGGCTGCAAGCCAGAGATGCGAAAACGGCAGTAGGGGAACATCCTGCTGCCTTGTTTAGTCACAATCATCTCTGTTCTGCATTTGAAAAACTCGTTCCACATGCCATTGTTGTCCAGCGTTACTTTGATACCTTTGCAGATGCTATCAGGTGAGAGGTTGTCTGGCTCAGGGGTTGAACTATACGGAAGCTTCACAGCAGCAAATCCACCAGCATTCCTAACCGGTTCTTTATATGGGTAAATGTTGGGTTTACCCATCATATCTGCCTCTTCAGTGGTTGCACAGTTGCTTTGCTCCATACCGCCTTCACTTGCCTTCCCTAGTGTCGGAACAAGAAAGCGGGAAGATGGATGGTCCGCGGCAGGTGCCGCAACAGGGCTGGTTGCCCCTTCCTGATGGAAAACCATTCCTTTTCGCTTCTTCTTAAAAGCCATGAACAGCTCCCAGACATCTAAAGGGCAGGAGGATCCCGCTTTTTATACATTTGTATGATGGTTTGGGACAGCATCCTAAAAAAGAAAATTAGCTGTAAAATTGGTTACAGCATTTTCAGTACACTGCACCATTAATCCCATATACTCCCTTTCTTTACCAACATAGTCAGAAGTTCAGAACAAGAGAGATAATTGTAGTTGTGTGTTGAAAGTGTCACAGTGTAGCATGAGAGCATGCACAGTTCAAGCCTCCACAACCACCAAGCTCTGGTGTCTCTTTTGGCCTTTGTGACTTAGATGAAGGGAGTCATACTGACTAGTTTATTCTGCTTTATTTTCAATACACTGCAAATTGAGCTTTGGGGGAATTATTTCTGCTATACATTTCAACCGGTGAGATTTAACTGAGCCACATTGTTGCAATGAATAAGATCTTTCTTCATAACCATCAACACAAACTGAAGTTAATCTCTATGGTCTTTAAAATAAATAGCTAATTTCATTGGTTTCAGAGGAGGAAACAACACCTACCTACACAACCTGTCCAGTGCTATATTCCCGCTGTTTAACAACCACCATTATCAAGGAGCAGTAAGTATTTATTTCTCGTCTTTGTTACTTTATCATTGTTAAGCTTGGATTTGGGTTCTGGGAAAAGGGTAAATACGCTATAGAGATCATAAAACATTTTTTATCCCAGACTGTAAACAGGCAATTTTTTCAGTAAATTGGCAATTTTTACCATGGCGCTCTATGGCGGTAGCTACATTTTTTAAGCCAGCCTCAAGTGGCCTTTCAAAGTACTGCAGGTTACGGTACTTCCGCTTGGTTAAAACTCCTGAACGCTAGCTAGCAGTATTGTAATCTATTTGAGTCATTTAATTTTTCTACTCCAACGAAATAAGTAAACTGAGACCGGAAGTACCTTAAGGGCGCACAACTTTTAAAACCTCATGTATGTTGTTGTGTTATTCAAAGTCTACTATGATATTGTATGCGATATATCGCAATACAACGCAATATGCTGAATAACAATTGTATCATGGTGCGTATTGGATTGCCAGGTTCTTGGCAATACTCAACCCTAGTAAGCAGTCATTTCATTTACCCTAAATATCAATATCACTCAGCATCCATATTTTGCTCTGTCACTATGTAAAGCAAATTACCAAGTAGTCGTGAGTATATTTATTTGTCAAGTCTTTATCTGTATGTTATTTTCGTGATGCTTGGATTTGGTTCTTTGAAATAGGGTAAATAAGTTATAAACTTTTAAACATTTCTTCAGTAACGTTGGCCATTTTACCATGCGTTTGTCCCATTTTTAAGCAAGTCTTAAGAAGCCATTTAAAGTACTGCAGGTTGTAATACTTACAACCTAGCTAGCTAGCAGTGTTGTAATCTACATTCAGTTGTTTAACTTGTTCTACTCTAACGTAATAAAGTAAACTGAGTCAGGAAGTACTTTAAGGACACAAAAATAAACTGTTAAAACCTGATGGACATGTTTATATTTAAAGCCTACTATGACATTGTTAGCGATATATCACAATACAACGCAATATATTGAATAACCATTGTATCAGAATACAATTACAGTAACTTCCCTAACCCTAAATATCCTTCATTATAACATGCTTAAACTAGATTTGTTGCCATTTAGCAGCATAGAAACTTAACAAAATTAAACATCTATTTTTAGTTTGACTAAGTTAAGGAAGATTGGTTGTAATACATTTAGAGTAACTCAACCAACCCTGAATATCCTTTAATATCACATGCTTTGACTACGCGATGTGTTGCCATGTTAGTCCATAAACTGAACTAAATGAAATGAAAAAAGAATGGTATGGCTAAATTAGGGAAAACTGGTCATGTTGGAATACATTTACAGTAAATTCACCAAACCCTGAATATCCTTAAAATTAGCACATGCTTAATGCCATGTAGCGGCATGACAACCTAACTATTAAAACACCTATTTTTAGTTTGGCTATGTTAAGGAAAACTAATGTTGCCAAAAGAAAACAATCCCTTTTGATTAGTGTCTTCTTGGTATGTTTAACTTTGAAGGCATAGCAGTTCTTACAGAGCCTGAAGCTAGCTAGCAGCAGCATCAGGCCTAATGCTGAGCCCAGTAATGGCTTCCCATGTAACACCAAACACTACAGTCTGTTTGGACCCACTGAGACCATGTGCAACACTAACAGCACACGGATTACCTTCTGCACGGTCCAACAGATCACGTATGTCGACGTTATGACATTAATCCACGTGTGTTTCCCGTCGTAAAAACCCAGTCGACATGGTGGAGGTTTTCTCAAATGAAGTCGGGGGAATAAGGCATGCGGTGTATTTGCACTGACGTCACCGCCCGTCTTCTTCGGTACTGCGCAGCCTCGGACGCCATCTTGCTGCTGCCACCTGGTTCAAAACTCGTCGGCATCAACACCCGGTCATATCGTCCGTTATCTGCGGGGGAAGAGCGGTGGAGCAGCGGGATGGTGTCTTTTGTTCCGTAGATGATTCTCTTCCTAATGGACTTTTTACTGGAATATCGTGACTTCCTGATGCTGCAAACAGACGCTACGACCGACAGTTATTTTCCTCATGTATACAGATTATAGTTACTTCCGGTGTTAGCTTCGTCAAAATGGAATACAACTGATTTTAAACACAGAGCCTAAAGAGGGAAGCTGGTGGGAATGTTTCCAGCAGGAGATGTATGGTCAAAACTACTGCAATATACGGGATATTCAAAACAACCAGATCCATGTGAAATGGAAGACGTTAGCAAGTGATTGGTGGGATTTCTTCAAAGATCATGGTGGATTTTAACTGAATACGTTGCATAAATGAGTTTAAAGCACTGTGGCAAAGAAACGGTTAACTCCGGTTTAAAACAGCCTCGGCTCATTACATGCCAATCTGGCCTCGCTTCTTGCTTGCTTACGGACTCTAAATTATTGTGGTGTTTCACAACATAGACTAGTATAATTTGAATGGGTTTTAAACAACTGTGCTTGAGATAATTGTGAGCCATTATACCGTATTTGACTGCTTATTTTCGGCCACATTTCAGACTGTAACAGCAGCAGCAGAACGAGACTCCATGATGTTTCCACCCAGCCAGATCCATGTACAATTTATGGAAGCGTTTAGCTTGTGATTTGTGGGACTTATTTACAGATCACGGGAGATTTAAACGGAATACATTACATATTTGCGTTTTAAACAATTGTGCTTGTGGTAGTCACGAGCTATGATTCAGTATTTGACTGCTCATGTTCGGCCACATTTCAGCAGACAGACTCCATGATGTTTCCACCCAGCTAGTGGAGAGTCTGAACGACACCGTTAATGTCGGCGTTATTTTAATACACGGCTCTTATATATACATATAGGCCTACCAAAATGGACACATGTCAATGGAAGTGATAAGTTTCAATGTGGTTATCGGTGCGATATTTTTTCGGACCCACGGACCGCAATGGAGAAATGTTTCCCCTCTCTGCTACAAACAAAGGGATCAGCAGCCACGATGGAGCTGCTGGTTGTGGCCTAACGTCAACCGAACTACATCGGTTTAAATACATTATATATTTGCATACAGATAGTACACACAACTAGCTACTCACATAATGAATAAAACACTACATTTATATCTGAAATTAAGTGTTTGTCTGTCAACCGGCAATGTTTATCATGTTACTTTTAACAACCGCAGCATTTTGGGGACTATTTTTGCGTGATTATTTTTGAAGAATAACGTTATAGATTTGAACCTAACTGACTACAACCGTCTTCGTTTAATTTGAATGTAACGGTAGCCAACTAACCCAAGCCCTGGCGTACACGTATATTGCGGCAAGGGATTGGATTACGGCGCATGCGCATACGGAAAATTGATTGAATTCTTACGTTTGTTTTGTTTTTCATCATTTGTTTCATTTTACGTTATCCTCAGTCCGAGAGCCGATGTATAAAGGTAAATACAAAATGAACTACAGTGACATTCAGCGAACTGTTTGCTCCCAGGCTAACAGCATTCTAGGCTTTATTGAACCAGGTAGTTAGCAGGTTTGCTCTTAGCCAGGTGACTGATGCTAATGCTGCTACTGTTCAGACAAAGGCCGTCCTGATGACGTCACGCACTAAAATCAATAAACCCACGTGAGCTCCTAATTGATCGTCTTGCAGAGGTGTGTGTGTGTTTATAGTCCTTTGTATTTATATTGAGCAAATTGCAGTGATGTAATCGAGCACTGTACGACATGAAATACATTCAAATGCAAACATGCTAACATTTTACTGCATTGTATATAATATAATGTACCAGCTAAATAGACTGGCTGCATAGTGTGTCCATTATGTTTTATCCTTTAGATTTTCATGATTATTACATGAGATTATTACTACTAAGAATACAATTTAAGAATGCATGACTTATACTTGTAGCAGTATATTAAAAGGTCTTAAAACTTCTACTGACACTGGTCTTTTATGACATTTATTTGTTTATCGCTCCAAAAATAGCCCTAAAGTTGGTGAACGTGTCCCACACTGTGACACGGAGGACTCATGATGGTGAGAGCCTTTCCGGATCCCTCTGAAGAGAGAGAGCTCTTTGTAGGACGACATGTCGCAGTGACTCGGATTATCCCAGGAATCAAACAAGAAACAGACATGCTGAGAAAATAATAATAGCATTGACAAACACCTTTTAAGAGAGTGTATATCTAGATGTATTCAGACTCGTGTTACATGTAAAGAGGTTGGTTTACAGTGAGATGAGACCATATTGATCCCCAAGGGGAAATTCAGGTGCAGCAGCAAAAAGACAGAAATAAGTAGACACATTCAGAAGTATACACAACTACTTTATAAAAGAAGTATGGAATAGTTCATCACACAAGATAATTGAAGACGAGGTAGGTGACATGAAAATAATATTAAATAAAAGGGGAAATCAAATTAATAAAAAATAAAGTAGCGTTCAGGGCAAGAAAAGGTAAATTTAGGGTTCAGATGAATTCACATTTTCCAAAAGTAGTAGATATATGCATTGTACTCTTACTACACTACATGTATTTAATACCTTTAGTTACTTGTGTGTTAAATCAGACTTTAGTTCCACCTGGAGTAAATTCACAAGCTACCCTGCAGTATACAAAGTCATTCAAACTAGCTGCACCTTTACCAGCTTTGAGAACACTTTAATGATCAATCATTATAAAACAGATCATATATATTATTCTGAAATGGACCAATCTGCACAATGACTACTTTAACTATATTTTGATGATAATACTTTTCTTCTTTAACTTGAAGAACATTTTGAATGCAGGACTTTTACTGTAACAGAGTATTCCTACACTCTGGTACTTCTACTTTTACTCAAGTACAAGATCTGAGTACTTCTACTTTTACTCAAGTACAAGATCTGAGTACTTCTACTGTTACTCAAGTACAAGACCTGAGTACTTCTTCCACCTCTGTATTTATGAAGAACATTTACTAAAGGACACTTTTATATCAGGAAGCGAATGTGCTTTTATGTTTGTAACATTGTGTTTCTCGTCTCTTCATAGTGAGTGATGTATTATTTTTCAGGTGATGGGTCAACAGCTGACTAGTGGATTAACGGTAACAGTGTGAAACAATACAAAATAAATCAATGTGACACAAATAACACTTTATTCATTCATCACGAGTCTCAAATAATCTCTGTACAGATCTGAAGTCAGTGGTAGACAGACAGGTGAGGACTTCAGTGTGTGACTACATCAACATACAAAACGTCAGGTACATTAAAACACACGGTCCCTTGATATCCGGACATGAGGGGTGCCGACAGACAAGTCGAGGTAAAGTTATATTTAATTATCAGGGCGGAAAATAAACTGTTTTACAGTCAGAGCTATAAACCAACATTACGTCCAGATTTCTACATACATAATTACATCTCTATACATCCTATAGTTAAGAGAAAAGGGTGTACAGTGTTCACATGACATGCTTCAAGTAATTAAAAACATTAACAGCTTTAATTCAATGTTAGAGAGTCTGGAAATGTCCAAGTGAGTCATTTTAGAGCAGAATTCAAATATGCACAACTTTATTTACAACAGGGCCGGATCAACACATTGCAGGGGCCGTAATGGTGCCGTGGGCCCCTAATGGCCCCCCCATTGCCCACACTCTGTTCACTGTGCATGTATTAAACACACATCTATTAGGTGAAATGCACAGTACAAACTTAAATACAAAATCCCCTAAAAGTTAGTTGCAATGAGTATGAAAATCATGCCTAAATGTAATTAGTGCTGCAATGATTATTTGAAACTTCGATAAATCATTTCTATGAAAATAGTAGAAAAATTACGTTTTAGGGGGACAACACGTGATGAATAATTTCATCAGTTAATTTAAAGAGGATTTATTCATAGTAATCAAATAATCGTTGCAGCGCTAATACATTAAAGTAGCTCTAAGTTCTTGTGTTTTTGGCCAACAATTAAAAAAATGTCAGGTTTTGTACCATAGGCAACAAAATGACATATTTTCACATTAAAACTCTTGCCGTTTTGACAATTGTGCTTTAAAAAAATGACATCTTTCTAACTAAACATTTTTAAATCATGAATAAATAATGTCATGTTTCTGCTCTAAAAATTGAAATGACAAATTCTTCCTGAAAACGGAAGAAATGCCAACATTTGAACCAGTCTTCAAATGTCTTACAAGTTACTGACCTTAATTTAGAGTGATGCAAGACACTGAAAAGCACCTAATTGGATAAATAAGCACATTTATTAATAATATTTGAGCCAAATCCATATCCAAATATAAGCAGATTACAATTTCAGTTGAGTGACAAATTGCTTTAGTAACCGGAAAGACTGGGACTCAGATATAATGTTAACTTTTTCTATTATTTTAATGTACACGTCAAAACGTGAATAATAACGCTTATCAGAAACACAAAATGAAGGTGAATAAAGTTGAATTAAACTAAAATATTGTCAAGCTAGTGTCTGTGAAAAGATCAACGATCCCTTGAACTCCTGACGCAAGTGAAACAAGATTCACACGGTTCATTCAGCGCTTCAGATTAGTAGAAGCTTCCTGTCACCACGAGTTAGATAGACTGAAGACTAACCAGTCACTTAACAGGAAAACTAGTTAGGAAGCAATGCATGGAGATTGGACAAAAGTCTGTTCACATGGTTTTAAGTTATACTTACTGGCTGTTGAAGCTTATAGACTTAATGAGAAAAAAGATATTGTATCCAAAGTAGTTATTTTGAGAATGTTTTTCGTTATAATGAGATAATGATGGTTTAATGCATGAAAAGTGCTTCCAGAGAGGGTCGTCCATCAGTGTCAAACGTTCACCAGTCAAATGTTGATACAGAAAGTTATTGCACTTAAATGAATACTTTGATATTTTGGTGAATATATAACAACCTCCACTCTTTTGCCTTTAGGCTGTCAAGTAGATTTGAACTGGCCGCATCAATGTCTACAGGGTTCACAGGGGAAGGTTTGGGGAGAGGATTAACGGGCCAAATGGGATTTTAGTTTTGGGGATCTGATAAAAAATAGATTTCTAAGAGATCTAAGAAGTCAGTATTCTGAAGAAAAAAAAAGTAAGACTTCCGAGGAAAAGTCAGAATTCTAAGAAGCAGTCAGAATTTTGAGAAAAAGTCAGGATTCCAAAAAAAGTCAGAATTTTAAGAAACAGTCAGAATCCCCCAAAAAGTCAGAATAAAAAAAGAAGAAGTCAGAATTAAAGAAAAAGTCAGAATTCTAAATTCAATCCCAGGACGCAAAAGAAAAAAAAAAATCTGTCATAAGTCCGATCTAAAAAATAAATAGATCACATGTGGCCCTTATCCTCTATTGAAGTTGACGATATAAAACATTAGCATACTTTAGGTGTAGAGAAATGTCTCGGATATGCTGATCGAGTAGACCTGATTTTCACATTGTTCAAAGGCCAAGAATATCATAAATAATATGGATCATTATCACAAACACTCATTTTAGAAGCTTGCATGAAAAATGTGTCATGCTCTCATTTCACATCTGAACTTTAATCTTTCATTCCTGCTTTTTTACGATATAAAATTGTTTCTTTTAACATTTACATCTATTGCACGGTATTTCACTTTTTCCTTTACGTGCGCGGACAAATCAATTATAATAAAATAACTCTATAATATCGACTAAATCCAGTGTAAGTCGGCTCCTAGTTAAGGTAAATTCCTAATAAAATAAAAAAATAAGGTGGCTACTTAATATTTTTCCTGTTGCTTGTGTTTTAAATGTGAAACTGACAGCATTATTTAGGGTCGAGGTTCAATTCATAATGAACTGTTAGACCAAAAAAGGCTCAAAGCATATTGTTTGTTTAGTTATTGTACAAAAAGTGCATTGTGACCATTCGTAGAAACAGGTTCCTCGTGTGCCTCGTACATTTCTGGATAAGAGCAGTTATTTGATAAATAGATGAATGACACGTGATTTTATGGATGCTGACCTGAATGAAAACAGAAAAGGAACTGAGTCGTGTTGACTATCAGCAAAGCAGCTATTTCTATTATCAAACTTGTTACGATAATAACATGCTATTGACCTGATATTATTATTAACGGCTGGTTGAGTGATTTCAATCCTTTCTTTGAAACTCTTCCTGCACCTTTGAGCTTTCAGACCCAGTCGTACACAGAGTATCAGTGTGTTATTTGAAGTACTGACCTAAATCAAAAACATAAAAACTTAAGGCTTTATGATTTAAAACTGACCTGATGCATGTTCATTTTAGAAAAGCGGCTTTTGCTTTTATCAAACATTGTAAAATGATATTACACTGATCTTATTATTATTATTGACTGCTGTTAGGGTGATTTCAATCCTTTTTGTGAGCACCGAACTCCCCCTGCTTTAAGTCCCAGCAGAACACGGAGTATCAGTGAGTTGACTGATTGTGTGCCGGGCTCTGTACCTTCAGCAGAGAGAATCCATCCCGTCTCCACCCGCCTACTGCTGCTCAGCGCCACAAATCAAGCGTCCCTCTCTGATTACTAAACAAGTCCAATCAGAGCAGCGCTGTGATTTTTCAGACGTTAATGACGGTGTCGTCCTCATCGTCTCTGCCATCCTCCTGTAACGTGTCCCCTCTGTTTCCAGATCCTTCCTCCTCCTCCTCCTCTTCCTCAGGGGCTCCACAGGGGCCGATGATGTACCTGTAGTCTCCGCCGATAGCGAGGGCGACCCCTGACCCCACCATCAGCCAGTCTTTCTCCTCTTCCTCCGCTCGGATCTGCCATGGGATGCTCCAGCTCTGGTTCCCCGCCTCCATCCCCTTCCCCTGACATCCGACCCCCCCGTCGGCCCCACATCCTCCTCCAGGCTCCCCCTCCTCCCCCTCCAGGTTGACGTAGAGCAGAGGCTCCTTCAGCGGGGGGCCGGGGGACAGGCTGCCCCCAAGAGCCTCCACCTGGCCAATCAGGTGCTGGAAACTGGGCCGACATTTAGGGACGGGACTCCAGCAGCTGTGCATGATCTCATAACTGACAGGAGGAGATGATGAGGAAGAGAGGATGAGGAGAAGAAGAAGGATAGGTGGAAGAAACATGATAACAGTTACTACAAGGGTTCCTACATTCAACATTCAATACTTTGAATTTAATTTAAATGAATGAAACCAGTACCAATGTCATCGCTAGCTAGTAGAAACAGCTGCCCCGAGCATCCTGATTTGTGGGACATTAATGCAGGAGGTGTTGTGTACAAATATCCAAAAGGGGTGTGTGTGTGTGCGTGTGTGTGTGTGTCTCTTTTTTTAGATCAATGATTTAAAATGCCTCTTATAGCTTGAAAGTTACTTGTTAGCGTGTGAAGTTTGGTAGAATAGTGTACATTTAGCTCACAAAAACGTTGACAAAATCTGTTCACTAAGACAATATGGCACCAACGTCAAACATTAACAGTCACTATATAAAGTATTGTTGCTGAAAAGCCACAAATAAAATGTATGACATCAACGCTGACGGGGAAAAGCAGTGACCAGGTGAAAAAGTGTGTGTAATATAATAAATATGTTTCAGACTCACATGTCGTCTCTGCAGTCCGGAGGTTTCTTCAGTCGCTCTCCTTTGATCAGATACTCGTAGATCTCGGAGTTCTCCACGCCGGGGTACGGAGTCTGACCTCGAGTCATGATCTCCCACATCGCCACGCCAAACGCCCACTGACACACATAAATCAAAAAATATAGAATGATGCATTTCCATGTCATTCATAACTGAAAAGCATTAACTGAATAACTACATAGAAACTCAAAAAGAGACACTAAGTGAACTCAAATGACACATAATGACCACGAAGAGGCACACATCAAAATGAAATGACTAAAAAGAGACTCATAATGACCACGAATGGAAAGAAGAACCAGAAAGAGACTATGAACTAACTTAACTGAAAATAAACCAAACGACCAAAAAGAGACTTAGATGACATCCGATAGAAAATAATTTTTGTAAAATGACAGTAAAAAATAAAGTTGTCTGTGAATGTATGTGAGTATATGTATGAATGAGTGTGAGTGTGCGTGTTTGTCAGTGTGTGTGTGTGTGTGTGTGTGTGTGTGTGTGTGTGTGAGTGAGTGAGTGAGTGAGTTCAAGGCTTTTATTTGTCATACGTACATAGCTGCAGTGTAGTTGTGTCGATGAAAATCTTAGGTCACAGTGTGTGTGTGTGTCTGTGAGTGTGTGTGTGTGAGTATATGTATGAATGAGTGTGAGTGTTTGTCAGTGTGTGTGTGTGTGTGTGTGTGTGTGTGTGTGTGTGTGTGTGTGTGTGTGTGTGTGTGTGTGTGTGTGTGTGTGTGTGTGTGTTCAAGGTTTTTATTTGTCATACGTACATAGCTGCAGTGTAGTTATGTTGATGAAAATCTTAGGTCGGTCACAGTGTGTGTGTGTGTGTGTGTGTGTGTGTGTGTGTGAGTGTGTGTGTGAGTGTGTGTGTGTGTCAGTACCACGTCGCTCTGTGTAGTGTACACGTTGTCTGCGAGGCTCTCCAGAGCGATCCACTTCACAGGGAGTTTAGAGACTGAACCCTGTCTGTAGTAATCTCCACTGTAGATCTTCTTAGAGAGACCGAAGTCTGCCACACACACCGTCATGTTCTCATTCAGCCTGCAACACACACACACACACACACACACATTTATTGGTGATTTCAATAAGACAATACAAGCATGTTTCTGTCTGTTTGGGGAAGCGTGGACTGAAAGCCTGACTGTCAATCATAAAGCCTCCATGTGATGTTCAGGTGTTTCTGTTTTTAAATATTTAGATTTGTTGCTGGTTGGTGGACTCAGTGAGCTGGTTGGTGGACTCCGTGAGCTGGTTGGTGGACTCCGTGAGCTGATTGGTGGACTCCGTGAGCTGGTTGGTGGACTCAGTGAGCTGGTTGGTGGACTCAGTGAGCTGGTTGGTGGACTCAGTGAGCCGATTGGTGGACTCAGTGAGCTGGTTGGTGGACTCCGTGAGCTGGTTGGTGGACTCCGTGACCTGGTTGGTGGACTCCGTGAGCTGGTTGGTGGACTCCGTGAGCTGGTTGGTGGACTCCGTGAGCTGGTTGGTGGACTCCGTGAGCTGGTTGGTGGACTCAGTGAGCTGGTTGGTGGACTCAGTGAGCTGGTTGGTGGACTCAGTGAGCTGGTTGGTGGACTCAGTGAGCTGGTTGGTGGACTCAGTGAGCTGGTTGGTGGACTCTGTGAGCTGATTGGTGGACTCTGTGAGCTGATTGGTGGACTCTGTGAGCTGGTTGGTGGACTCTGTGAGCTGATTGGTGGACTCTGTGAGCTGGTTGGTGGACTCTGTGAGCTGGTTGGTGGACTCCGTGAGCTGATTGGTGGACTCTGTGAGCTGATTGGTGGACTCACATGCAGTTCCTGG